CACTGCCTCGTCACCACTCTGCAGACGATACATCTGTATCCAGGCTTGGAGTTCTCTGGGCAGGGTGCTCAGGAGCTGCTCCAGCACCAGCAGCTCTAGGATTTGCTCCTTGCTTCGGGTCTCTGGCCTCAGCCACTGATGGCCAAGTTCCCGAAGCTGGGTCAGAGCTTCCCAGGGCCCAGAGGACTCCTGCTAACAGAACTGCCGAAATCTCAAGCGGTAAAGTTTCTGATATGGGCCCTGCCCTCCTGCGAGTCGCCTGGCTGCTCCCAGGTGGGATCTTCCACCTTCACTGTCACAAGGCTGTCTTCCTTCTCAGGAGCAGAACCCGGCAAGGCTTCATACATTTGAACTTAGAAGCTGCAGTAAGGTTCATATGGCTGAAGTCTATGCTTCAGAAATGTATTGCTAAATGAACATCTACAATGTAAGAATTGAACAGAAAATTAAAGCCAAAAGAGTTTCAAGACTCTATGGAACATACTTTTATTTTTGTCTCCACTATGCTGTGCATATAGGGTTCTATGCATAAAAATCATATCCTGAACACTAAAAGAGGTGAGCCAAGATGTATGGGAAGAAAGGCAAACAATAAAAATGACTGTCCAGCAGGCCCTGGCTTCCCATCCCTCCTCACAGGTCCTGTGAGGGAGGTGTAAGACTTGCTTAAGGCCTTGAAAGAAGCTGGGTGTGGTCCTGTGCAGGAGAGCAGCTGGTACATTGTAGTCCCCCAGTAAATGCTGAATGGGTGAATGATAGGTATTCAATGAATATGGAACCACTGGCCTCTTCAGGCCACCTTTCTAGGCTGAGCTTGGCCACCGATACAAGCAGCTCAGGGTGAGGCCCCTGAGGTCCACAGTGTGCTACTCAAGTTTGCCATCTGCTTCTGGAAAGCAAGCCTGGCTTCTGACTGTCGTGTGTGTGTGTGTGTGTGTGTGTGTGTGTGTGTGTGTGTGTGTGTGTGTGTTTGTCAGTCTGAATGAATATGTGACATTTCTGCAGTTCAGTATCTCCAGGTTTCTCCTGGGGCTATGTAGGGCTTCTGGCTGGCCAGGTAAATGGATCCCTGGGAACCCAGACCTCAAACGGGGACTTATTTTCTTCCTCTCACAAGCCAAATTTGCCTCCTATCCACTCCTTCTGAAAAACTGGGCATTTGCCAAAGTAGCCTCTGCTGTCATCCAGTGCTCTTCCCACCCAGGGTTCCCTCAGCTTTCAGGGAGAGGGACTGAGGGCCACCCCCATGCCTCAGTGGAACACATTCCCTCCACCCCAAGCAGTGTGCTCAACCATCCCTCCCCACCTTGGACAGGCAGGAAGAAAGATGCACCTTCTTTTGCTGGTTATTTATTTGTTTGGAGACACAGAAATGATGTAATGTATCTAAAACTCTCTCTATCTCTGTTTGTAACTGACTCTGGAACCCCCTGAGGGGGGAATGCAGGCTTTCCTGAGCCTGGGAGATCCCTGTTCTACCCCTTCTGCCTCCTGCTTAAGCAGAGGGATGGGACTTAATGGGACAGGAGGACTAAGACTCCCAAGAAGATTCCAAATTTTCTGCTCCATTCAAGTCCCAGAGAGAGGGAAGGAGGAGGGGTGGGGCCAGCCAAGAGATGACCCATCCCCAAACTTGACAGTCACCCACACTCCTGGCTATTATGGGTCTTGGGGCAGGTGAGTGCAAGTATGTGGCTGTTGATTTGTTCTCATTATTTCTTTCCATGCTGTATGGTGACGCTGTCTAGTATTCAGCACATTAAGAAAAGACAAAGTCCTTGAGATTCTTACAAGTTTGGTTTGAAAACTCTCACTATATTTGTTGTAAAGAGGTTTACTATTAAAAGAAAGAAACATGTTTCTGATACCTTAAAAAAATGCCCAGGCATGGTGGTACATGGCTAAAATCCTAGCACACAGGAGCAGAAGCTACTGTGAACTAGTTAGAAAATAAATAAGAGTGCTAGATATAGAGACTCTGTCTCAGTGAAACTGAAAACAGCAAAACCGCTTAAACTAATGAACAGTAAGAATGTTTGAATGTATTACACTTAAGCTAGAGAGGAGGGATAATTTAATACATGGTGAAGTCAGACAGCTATCTTGGCAGAAACACACTACAGTTCAAAGGTTGTTTATTGATATGCATTGAATATTTCACTCTATGTGTAGATATTATAGTGTTCTTCCAAAGTTTCTAATTACCAAATGCTTCTGCCATGCATACCTCCCATAATTCTTGTCTCAAAGCTGTGCTGTCCTACATCTTGCTTTGATAAAAAGAGTATGATAGACATGGCACAGTAAAAGTGCCCCTATAGCTCTTGAGACACTGCCATAAGACAACCATACTGTGAAGAAACCCAAGCTGGTCACATAGAGGTCACCTGGAAACAGGGCTCCTAGGCCAAAGCCTAGCTGGGCCTAGAGTCTACGTAATTTATTAGCTAATACAGATACATGAGTAACTCCAAGTAGGACCAGCAGTAGAACCAGGCAGTCAACCCATAGAACCCTAAGAAGCTGCTTTCATTATTAGGGTTTTATTATTACCTTTAAATAGGACAACGACAGACCTGCAACATCAAACACAGCAATTTCTTTGTTTTTCCCTCATCTCACTTTTCCTTTTGTGCTCTCAATTTCAGCATATCTGGTTCAAGGACACGTAGATGATTGTCTGGCTCCAGCTTGCCGTCTGACTCCAGACTCTCATCTTCCAGTGCCAGCAGGATGCCCTCAGTCTCATGCCTCTCCTGCACCTTCATTTCATCACACATCAAAAGAAAACCAGAGTCCTTACAGTGGGGCTCATTATGTGTTTCTCTATTTCTATTCATGTCAGCACTTTCCATGCATTTAGGCTTAACATTACAGGTATCCCTTCCTGCCTGTTCCTTTAGTTACCACTTTCAACCACTATCACAATAATTTTGTTTCTTACTTCTGACCTCCCATCACTGGATTAATTTTTCCTAAGGCCCCATTTTGATCACACTTCCGCATGCCTCCTGTGTTAGTGTGAAATACATTTGTTATTTACTGTTTTCTTGTACATAACCCCTAAAATACTTTGGGTGGGATAAACTGTTAAGTTGATGACTAATGAACAATTATTTAATCAATCATGCTTATATAATAATGTCTCCATCAAAAACCAAAGGGGCAGGGCTCATGGAGCTTCCAAACATTTGGGGGTTGATACCTCCAGAGGATATGGAAGCACACCAGGGCACTTTCTGCTGTATTGTATCCTTTGCAACGTATTTTATATCCGAATTCTGTGAGCTCTGGAAAGGGTGTTAAAAACCGCGGTTTCCAGCCAGGGGGTCAGAAGCATAGGCAAGATAAATTGGCATTTAGAATTGTTGTTGAAAATAGTAACCAGCCTTATGTCTTGTATACTTGAGCCTCAACATATAGTATTCATTCATCTGCATTGAATTAAGGGACATCGAATGATGTTTAGCAAATAATTGCTTGTTTGCTGGTGGGAGCAATTGTCTATGACCTTTTGAGGTCTGAGAAGTTTTTCACACTGACTATTGTTAAAGAAAAGTGAAAACATTGTTTTTCCTACAGACGGGAGTAGTGGGGGAAAAGGGGGGAGAGAGACCACCAGCATCACCACCACCATCACCGAGTTTCAAACACTTCTTGAACTTCAAACTCGCAGAATCTGATCCTACCTGCGTTTTACTTTTAGCTTACCACCAATTATATTAAGCGCCCAATTATTTTCCACGTACAAAGTTAATCCTGGGATAAAAGAAGTTAGTTCCCACCTACAAGAAAACCATGGACATCTCAATTCTTCACTCACAGCACGCTAACACTTCCCCTCTCCACTTTGCATTGGGCTATCCTCCCAATGTAATTTCCCACTAGCATGTGACCTACTCTGTACGTGGCTACCCTCAAACCTAATGCACGGATGCGGAAAACTGAGCCACTCGGGTGGGCAGAGCACCGGTAGGTGTATGCACCCCGTTCTCCAGCTTCAGCCATCCCTGCTACTAGCAGATCTCGGCATAGACTCTTCAAACGCAGTACGGATCTGGTACCCAATAAAGACTGATGGACTTCTTGACAAATGTAATAGAAGCACCTGAGGTGCATCAGCCAGGGCTCTAGCGTGCTCAGAACCAATGCTTACACTATATAAGTCAGTTAGCGCCTAGCGCATAGCAGTTAAGTGTATGTTTGCTGCTTTAAAGTCTAGGGAACCTGTGCAACGAAAGTGCCGAGCCCCGGAGCTAGGTGGCCAGAGCGCCACGGTCTGGCGGTGCTGCTGTAAGTACCAGCCCTCGAAGATGCAGTTCGGCAGAGTCCAACAGGATGAGGAACAGGGGGCATTTCCTGCAGACGGAGCGGAGCACCAAGGGAGCACTTCCTGTAGACGGAGCTGGAGCCCCAGACGCAACTTCCGTTGTGCACTTCAGGAGTGTGGCCCCAATCTCTGCTGCTCCTGTGGAGCCAGGTCGGCGGGACACAGGCTTCTCCTGGTGGCTCCTTATCCCAATCACGCGTACATTTACGTAAACCATTTCAACCAAAACCTTGAGGGATGTACCTGAGGGAGAGCGCTTGCTGGACATGCTTAACTGGGTTCAGTTCCTAATACCTCGAGGGAAAGCTTTTTCCCTAGACTAACTGGCATCCGTAAAGGCAAAGCCGAGTTACCGTTACCCGGCCGTGTGCGGAGAGCCGACGAGTAAATAGGCACAAAGCCGCAAGGTGAGGAAGCATACAGATTTTATATGCGTGACGAAACCCCAGGTAGCGTGAATTCAAGAATCAAACACGCTTACTAATACGTATTTATTTCCTCTGTGTGTGTTGGAATGCGGGTCGTGTGGAGGTCAGAGGACAACCTGGAGTCGGGCTCTCGTTTTGTTGTGTAGGTTCTAGAGATGGAACTGTTTGTCAGACTTGGCGGCAAGCGGACTTACTCGTGGGGCCATCTCCACAGTCGCCCTGTTTTATAAATTCGCAGGACAGGCGTTAGAACGTTTTATTCAGAGAGTGTATAAACATTTTAAACACTTATGGAAATCACAATGTAATTTTGCACTTTAGTTCTTTCTGCTAGGATAGCGTGGAATTTTTTCCATAGCCGCTTTTAAAAAAAGTTTTGAATGCGCATGCTCATGAGCATGCACAAGTGCGTGTGGGTGTGGCAGCCAGAGGTGGATGCCAGATGCTGTTACTCTTCACCTTGATTTTTAGACAAGGTCTCTCACTGAATCTGGAACTCACAGATGCAGCTTCACTGGTTGGCCAGCAAGCCCCAGGGATCCCCACACCCCCAAGGGTATTATAGCTGTGCACTACCATCCCTACTGTTTTACATGGGTTCTGGGAATCTGAACTCAGGTTCAAACGCTTATGTCAGGCACTTTACCAACTGAGCCTCTCCCAGCCCCATAAGCTTAGTTTATAAACATCCCAACAATAGTATTCCATTGTATAGGTTACAATATACACCGACTATATCCTCATTAATATAGGCTTAGGCTATATTCTTTATAAGCAATGCTACAGGAAACACCATTCAAAATCTTTATATTTTTTTAAAAGCTTGATATTTATTCAAAAATTCCTTTGAAACTCTATAACTTTACAGATTGTTTACAGTACTGTCAACATCAATATTTTCATAGGAAACTATTCTCTTTATACTATCAATAATTAAATTATGTTTTTACATTGTTTTAAATATATTTGTTGAGTAAATACAGCACACAGAAACTGGCAAAAAATAATGTACAATTAAAACTTTTTGATAGTTCTGTAACTTTTAAAGGCCATGCTGTTTAGGAGTAAAAGGAAATGTTAATAGAAAAGCCAGAAAAAGATCATCACTTTCACACACCCAGTGATAAATGTCAACAGTAGAAATATAAAGCATGTTCTTAAATAGGCTCTATTTACTGAAGGACAGCTAGCTTTCTTCTGAGGTTTAGGAAATATACAAGTGTTATAGATACCAACATGCAGGTTTTTGCATGGACATAAGAGGCAAACATCAAGGAGATTCATAATAAGCTAAGATTTTATTATGGTGGTGCTGGGGCCTAACCCAGCCCATGCACATGCTGCACAAATGCTCGACCACTGACATATATCCTTAGCACTTGTTTTGAGATAGGGTCTTAATATGTAGCTCAGGCTGGGTTTGAATTTGTGGTCCCCCTGCTTCAGTCTCCTATGTAACAAAATGTCAGCGTCAAGGTTGTCTTTTCGTTGTATATTACTATTATTATAGTAGGGCTGGAGAGATGACTCAGCAGGACATACTACTCTTCCAGAAGACCAGAGTTCAATTCCCAGCACCCACACTGTGCAGTTCATTGCCTGTAACTCTAGCTCCCAGGGAGATCTAACAACTGTGGTCTAGATGGAACACCCCCCAACACCCCATAATTTAAGACATTTATCTATAAAATTACTAAAATAAAATACAATAAAACTTCTATCACAATTCTAAGTGCATGATGGTACACACCTTTAATCTCAGCATGGGGGAGATGCAGAAGGTAAACTAACTACAAATTTAAAAAGATATGACATAGACAGTTACCTCCCCCTTCCTTGCCTATTTGCTTATATTCTGTCTGTAGTGGCAAACCATATAACTGCATTTATCTTCTATAAATGGGAGAACTGAATGGGTGGTGACACACAGTCATCTATTACACTCTGTATTTGGATATTAAAGATAGGATACTACCCAAAGAGAAATGTTTAACTTAGTCATCATGGAGAAAGCCTAGACCAAATATCCAAGTAATTCAGAGTACATAGGGCTTCAGACTTTAAATTTTTACATTAAGAACAAGATATACCATCTATATGCTTCCTTATTAAACTGAAAAGAATCTATTTTAAATTTTAACATGAAACTGTTTAGGTACTAATCTCAGTATAGCCCTCAAATTACTTGGGAAAAGTATCTATGACATCAACTTAATTTTGTTTATAAAGGCTTTAGAAAAAAATCGGTTTTTTAGCTTATAAGCAAAAGAATTGACTTTGCATGGTTTTCAGTGTTTCAAATGTGTACTTCTCTTACACATTTGGTTTCCCTACAGAAAATGATATTGTTGCTTCTAGTCAGCTTGCTCAAACAGGCCAAGGACTGCTAGGTGTAATTCTGATATCCATCTTCCCTTTCATCTCTTTAGCTCTGCACAAAACAATATCCTCCCCTGCTTCCTGTTAGTTTTGGCCTAAGATACACATGCTAAGCAAATTTGGGGAAAGCTGCTCAAAGGGGGCTTACTGAACCAAGAACCTCTTTTTAACTTTCTTTTGTCCATACTTTGCATGTGATAGTTGCAACTTCAGCAGTCATATGGCCTTAAAAACTGACAGCATGAACTATGATAGAGCCAAAAGGCCAGAGATTAAGACTGTAGGATACCACGGATCATCTTTGGCACCAGCCTTTTCTATTGGACAAGAAAAGTATTTGTAAGCCAAGTGGAGTGAAACGAAGTTGTAATCACTACAAGGGTTCATCTATCTTCCCAGAGTGGCCTAACTTAAGAAGCCTTTTTCTCAGAGAACTATAACCTGTGCTATTCTCAACCCAGAAGCAATATCTACTATTCTGGTAATGTGCCTGGGAAGGCTCCTCTGAGCTTACGTTTCATCACTAGCATCAATATGACAAAATGACCACAATCATCTTGCCAAGCTGATTTTTAATGGTCAAAATTATTTCAAAATAAATATCATTTAAAATTTGCATCATTGGCATCAAAGGAAAAAAGTTTCCCCCAAGGGACATTCATTAAAAAGTGTTTTCCAAGCAGTCACTGTAATGGCACTGGAGCTGCCACCTAAGAAAGTTGGTGCTTGGATTCAACACAGGTTATTCAAATGACTCACAGTCTCCTGCATAGTTTAAGGAAAACTTTGATTTATAACCTAAACAATGTGCTACTGTGGTTCAAACAGGTAGGAAATGTAAAACGGCATGAGCTAATCCATGAAGGGCAGGTTCCACAGTTAAACAGCAAGTTTCTGAATACACTTTTTCAAGTGTATTAACTGGTGGTTCATGGGTAAAGTGGGTATAAGGCCACCATGTGGGTGAAACCGGTAGGGAGAATGCTTAGCTAGCCTATGTTAGACTTTTGAGAATGTGTATTTCCAAGCAGTATTAGATTTCTTTTGGGCTTAGTTTTTTTAACCTCCCCCTCCTCCCCTTTTTGTATATGTGTGCCCCTGTGTGAGCATATGTGGACCATTTGTGTACAGGAGTCTGAGGAGGCCAGAAGAGGGCATCAGATCCCTCAGAACTAAGTTACAGATGGTTGTGGACTATGTAGGTGCTAGGAACTCAAAATGGATGGATCCTTTGAAAGAGCAGAGTGTTAACTGCTGAGTATCACTCAAGCCCCTTGGGATTTTCTTTCATTTGTGATGTTTGCATGTGTAGGTATACATGTGCACTTAGATTAATGTTAGGAGTCTTCCTTGATCATACCACCAACTGCTCTCCAAATTCTGCCACCTGAATCCAGTTACTTGATATAGCTAGTGTGGCTAGTCGCTTGCTCTAAAGATCCCATTTCTGCCTCCTGAGGGGTGGCCCACAGGTGGGCTACTATACCCATTTGACTTCTACATGGGTGCTTGGGATCTAAAATATTGTCCTTACACTTGCATAGCAATTGTTAACCACTGAGTCATCTCTCCAACCCTTATTAGTCTTATTTTACAGGAGCCTGTTGCTTTAGTACTTGCAAATATATCAGCTTGCTCTCATTCTGTATAAATCTGTAGGCACTTGACTTGTTGATTTTAAAGATTTCATTCATACACAAGGCTGTTACTTAGAGATAAATAATCTTGTACTTATCACATTAAAAGCTCTGAGACGTCCTGTAGTGAAGAATTGTTTAACTCCGATTCCACCATCTAAAATGAAATTATATAGTCTAATTATGGCTTTAAGTAAAACAAAGGAAAGGGAAGCAATGGAGGCAAATTGCTTCCAATTTGGCCTCCAAGAATTCTGATGCCATGGTGACTTTTTACAAAGCACTGTTTGTTTGTCAAAGTAACATTCTGATATCTCAGAGAACCTCATCAAGCCACTTTGTTTTTGTGGTGATGTCTCTGATGCTGAAAGAGACCTGACTTCTGCCTGAAGGCTTCTTTGCATTCACTACATTTGTAGGGTTTTTCTTCATTGTGGATTCTGACATGCTGATCTAGGTGTGAGTTTAGGCGGAAGGCTTTCTGACATACTTTACATTTGAAAGGTTTTTCTCCAGTGTGAATCCTGTGATGTCGAATAAGGTCCGAAGTCAAATTAAAGGCTTTCCCACACTCATTACAATGATGTCTTTTGAAGCGGCCGTGGATTTTCTGATGGTGGGTAAGGAGTAGGGCCTTACTAAAGATTTTCCCACAATCCTTGCACTGACAAGGCTCCTCCTGATTGTGAGTTTTTTGGTGTCGATTAAGATGAGAGCTTCGCCTAAAGTTCTTTCCACAATAGATACACAAATAGGGCTTTTCTCCAGTATGGATTCTGAGATGCTCCAAAAGACCTGCATTCTGGCTAAAGACTTTTCCACACTCTTTGCACTTGTAAGGCTTCTCACCAAGATGAATTTTCTGATGTCTGATGAGGTGTGAACTCCTCTGAAAGACTTTCCCACACTCATGGCAGAGGTGACCTTTCTCTCTAGAGAGGGCTTCTGGATGCTCAGTAGGAGCAGAACTCTGACACACTACAGATTCACAAGACGTTTCTCCTGCATGTGCCCTTTCAAGTTCAGTCAGGTTTGAATGCTGGACAAGTTCCTCCTTAGTTTCCAAGCATTGGCTGCTAGCTTTTTCCTTGGGCATGGCTGGTTGCTTTTCCAAGTGCAAGTCCTCATAGTGGGTTTCAATGGGTTCAGATGTTGTACAAGATGATTCTATTCTTCCACAAGAGTCTGTCCCTACAATGAGCTTCCCATTATCATTCCTTGTTTCCTTACCTGAAACATTAAATATATATGTATCACTATTTATTTCATTTTGGGTGTTCAGGAAAGGGAATCTGCAAATAGGAAGAAATATTTAAATCAAGTCATGTGTATACATTTAAAAGATAAAAATTTTATGTGTATGAGTACTTTGCCTCCATGTGTAACACATGGAGACCATAAGAGTGTCCAGTTCCCTGGAACTGGAGTTACAGATGTTGTGAACTGTGATGTGGGTGCTGGGAACTGAAACCAGGTCCTCTGCTAAAGCAGCCAGTGCTCTTAACAGCTGAGCCATCTCTTTAGTCCCCACAAAGAAAAAAATTATTTGCTTATGATTTTAAATATATATATATATATGGAATGATTTACAAGAAACTGTGGTTTTGATTTTTAGTTTCTCTTGAGGAAAGGTTTCAATATGCAAAGCAACCACCTTGCCTAATATAAACCCTCTTCCCGCAGCCTCTCAAGTCCTGAGATCACAGTCATGTGCCAGCATATCCAGCTTAACATCCAAGAAATTGTTAACCATGATTGGCGTGGGGGAAGGATAAGGGTTGTGGTGGGAGGTAACTTATTTAAATGTTCTAAATTTTATTATGTGATATGCATCACACAGAGAGAAGCTACTAAGCATGACTGCATATTCTTGATCATGATTTGTCACATGGGGAACAAAAAGCATAAAACTATAAAACTGGGTCACCGGAAGACAATCACATTAAAAAGGGATGGTACTTTGGAAAATGAAAATGTGTTAGCGCAGTGACAAATTATCATGAGTAGAATGTAATCTTAGTCCTTATCAATAAATCAACAGCACCAGGACCATAAGACCTTGAGAGTAATGAATTTGCAAAAACATCATGTTGTTGAAATATGAAAACTGGGTGGTGGTGGAGCATGCCTTTAATCCCAAGTACCCAGGAGGCAGAGGTAGGTAGTAGATCTCTGCGAATTCAAGGCCTGCCTGGTCTACAGAGCAAGTTCCAGGACAGGCTCTAAAGCTACAGGGAAACCCAGTCTCAAAAAACAAACAAAACAAAATAAACAAACAAAAGCATTTCCCTCCAAGAGGGGAACAGTGGTTCCTTAATCTACTCATATGTTGCAAGTTTATCTAAAATACTGAACAGGGAAGAAGACAGAAGTCAGCTTCAGAAATAAAAAAATAGCCAATCATTAGTAGATACTGTTTACTCAAGGTTAGGGGTTGTAACAGATTCAGAGCCCTTTAACTATGGAAAGAAAAAAAGAGAAGTAAGCCAGAAACCATAACATAGTATATAACATGATAGCACATGTGGGACACTGAGCCAGATTCAGAGGAAGGATATAGGGAGAATAAGGGAGGTGGAATATAATGAATGAGGCAGGAAAGACCCAGAAGACAGAAACTAGAAGGAAATGGAAAATGAAATGGGGCATGTCAGAAGTGCCTGTGAGTGGGAAGCACAGGACAACTTGTTATTGAACTTGTGTGTGGAGGGCTTTGCTGCATTTCTTTGTTCCTCTTCCCAACAACAGCCAGTTTTCAGATATCAAAAAGTGGAATAGCATTACTCAGCTCACTAAGCAATAGAACAGAAAAGAAAGAAACTTAATGGATGTAAGTTTCAAGGCCAGTCTAGTCTACATAGTTGCTGTTGAGATCAACAGGGCCTCAGAGGAAGACCCTGTGTTCACAAAAGAAAAGAAAAAACTACATGGGGAAAGAAAAATGTATGGAATATAACAGAAGCAAAGGAGAACCAAAAACAAAACAAGGCAAAAAACCAATGAAAACAAACAAACAAAAAAACTAGACCAAGTAACCGCCCTCACCACTTCCATTTATAGTTATCTGAAGGAGGTAAGAAAATAAAGAAATTTGTGCCTAAGATTCTTTGCCTTGGATAAGAAAAGAAGGTAGATCCAGGTCCAGATCCACTTCTCCTTGGTGTGTTGTTGATTTAAATTGTTGATAGTGGTTGATCTTTTAATTCTTGACTGTGGTACTGACTAAGTTTATGGTATATACAAAAAAACTCACTGACTAGCAAAGCTACAGTGAGGATTGTGTATATAAAAAGCTAAGAGTGCCAAAGCAGAGGGCACTGCATGACCTACAATAACTCAAATGTGAACGGATGCCACTTAGTTCTTACCCTTCTCCTTCTCAGGCTTCTGCACCTCATGCTCAGGCAGGACCAGCTGCTTCTGTGCTTCTTTGTGAGGGACTGTCCCTCCAACCAGCACAGTCTGTCTGCTTCCTTGGGTTGAATCCTAGAGATAAGTACAGATAATTAGGAAACTGGTGTACAAAAAAACCACTTGAGTGTTAGAAAAGAGGGCATGGCAAGGGTGAGGTGAGGTTGAAACTGAACAGCAGTGAGTAGTGCCCCGCCCACTGCTGTGCTCATGTCCATCTATGTGACCTGGGGGCTCACTTCTTACTTTCCTACAAAAGGACACCTGGACCCCTTACCTTCTGTTGTCCTGCTTCTCCACGGTCTCGCTGCAAATCTTCCAGTATTCCCACCAGGTCCTCCCCAGTCTCTGGGTGGTGCTCGAGCACCTGGACCAGCAGATCTCTTGGCAGGATGGTCAGGAACTGCTCCAGCACCAGCAGCTCCAGGATCTGCTCCTTGCTGCGGGTCTCAGGCTGCAGCCACTGTCTGCAGAGCTCCCTGAGTCGTCGTAAAACCTCTCGAGGTCCAGTGCTTTCCTCATAGCGCAGCTGCCTGAACTGTTTGCTCAATGGCTCCTGCCCAAGGCCTTTTCTGTTTCCTTGAACTTTGAATCCCTGTTCCCAAGCACAGCAGTTTTAACAGTGGCTTTAAGCACAGACTCATCTCTTTTGCTACCTTAAACTTGGAGTCAGATTTCTACTTAGCTCTGCATATCTACCTATCTACCTATGGACAAACAGCTTGATAGTCCCTAATTTATCTAGCCTTGCTAGTACCCCTACTCCTCTTTTCTTTCCTTTTTGACAGGATCTCACTATGTAGGCCTGAATGGCCTGGAGTTTGGTATGTAAATCAGGCTGGGCCCCAAGAGATCTACCTGCCACTGAGTGCTGGGATTAAAGTCCTAAACCACAATGCACAGCTTCTAGTCCCCCTTTAAGGCTAATGTCACCAAGATAAGAATAACTAAGTCCTGTTCAAGAGACTAAGAACTTTGCCAACAGATCACCCATGCTGGGATCCACAGGCACCAGCCTTGGCTGCCTCAGCTATAATGACTCTGTTGGAGCTATCAGGACCTTACAGAACCAGCATGAAATAATGACTTATCATTTTGTCCAAGACAGACTGACAAGGCTATGTATGCTACTTGTCCCTCTTCCTCTCAGCTTTTGTCCCTCTCCCATTTAATCCTGAAACTCTTGTAAGGACCCTAAGACAGAGCTTTAGGGCCCTGTCTTCCTGTTTCTCCCCAATACGGACATGCTAAGTAATAAATTCCTTTCTTACTTCACTACCACTCACCTCTCTCACTGGACTGAGTGGCAAGTCACTAAATTTAGTCTGTTAGGACCCCAAGGTCAGACCTCTGATGCCATGAACAGCAGTGATCCCCTCATTACCTGAAGCTCCTCCTTCAGACTCAGAGGAGCCAAAGAGTATGCACGCTTGCTAGGGTGGATCTGGGAAGAGGTATGTGTGGGAACAGAACATGATCAGAACATGTTGTTGAAAACTCAAAGAACTTTTAAAAAAAGAATGCACATGAATATAGACACTCACCAAGGCCAGTGCCATCCCTTGCTTCAGGCACTTTGTTTTGGAGAACTTTCTTTTGACTGTATCCTGGAGGACACTCCTAAAGACATAAGTCACAGAAACAGCAATGCTAGCTGTGGCGTTATTTTGTTTACGATCTAACAAATAAAGTTTGCCTGAGGATCAGAGCACAGAGCTATCCACACTAGTTAGCCAAAGAGGCCAGGCAGTGATGGCATACACCTTTAATCCCAGCACTCCGGAGACAGAGGCAGTTGGATCTCCATGAGTTCAAGGCCACCATGAGCTACATGAATTTGATCCAGTCTAAAAGAGTAACTGAGCTCACACAAAGATGATCCTAGCACTTGGGATCACACACCCCCAATCCCTTCAGCTTTCACCCTGATAGCTGACTCCGAGTTTTTATTATTAAGACCAAAGAGAATTCGTAAGAACAGCAACAAATAATCTTTCCTTAGGGTAGTTTTCTCCAAACAGCTATTCCGAAGTGTACATAAACAAAGTGAGAAAACTTCTATAAAGATAACCACACAATCTAGCTACAATAGTAAGAGATTTGAAAAACCACAAATGAATGCTAAAACCACCGGAGCAAAAGAGGGAAGAACAGAATGTTCAGTGTTAACCACCACACCATGTAGCTGCAAATGTAACCAAATGATCAAACTTAGCAGTAAGACACCAATATTAACTACCCTATCACCTATGGAACACTTTTAATAAATATTGTTTATCATGAATTTACTGAGGAAACCTCCTGAGAAATCCAGAACTCCAGTCCATCTACAACAGGGATGGATCCAATTTCCCCAAAACATAGAGCTGACGCTGGAAGGTTGTTGTTCTAGATTAAGGAGACATAAGAAATTGGTGCCTGCATTAAAAACAAAACACCAAGCATCTAAAACCAGAGTGGTACTTCAGGCTTATTTCCAAATACTCCACAAGCCGATACAGAAGGTTTGCATGTTTTGAAGCCAACCTAGGCAACACAATGGGATCCTGCATTAATAAATAATTAACTTTACTACTATTCTTCTTTTGTTTGTGATATGGTCTTGCTATGTTACTCAATGCAGCCTCTTATGCCTGAGCTGAAACAGTCCTCTTTATTTCAACCTCTCAAGTAACAAGGATGTGAGAGGCTTGCACCACCATGCCCTATTAGCAGAGGTTGAAAAAGTCCAAGAAAGTGATGATTATTAGTCAAGAAAATGTAGTTTGGCATTGTGGTGGCTAATTTCCATGTCAATTCTGGGACACATTGTGTGAAGATACTTGGGCAAACATTATTTGGATGTTTCTGTGTTTTGGGATGAGATTTAATATTTAAATTAGTGGACTGTAAACTGAGTAAAACAGATTGTCCTTCATAATGTAGTGGGCCTCACTAGATCAGCTGAAGATCTGAGAACAAAAAGACTGAGCCTCTTCCAAGTAAGAGACTTCCTCTCTAACAGCTTTCCAACTCAGATACCAGTGTTTTCCTTCTCTCTTCAGCTCTAGACTGAGACTTCAGTTCCTGTGGGTGCTAAGTCTCTTGCCTTCAGGCTTGAACTAAATAATCAGGCTTTTGGTTCATAGGTCTTTGGCATCCACCAGAATTAAGTCATTTGCTGTTTTATTTATTTATTTTTTTTGGTTTTTACGAGACTGGGTTTCTCTGTATTGTTTTGGAGGCTATCGGTCCAGCCCGGCCTCGAACTCACAGAGATATGCCTGCCTCTGCCTCCCGAGTGCTGGGATTAAAGGCGTGCGCCACCAACGCCCGGCCAAAATAGGTCCCATTTCTTTAGTTAACTCTCATAAAGGGTCTGAAGAGATGGTTCTGAGGTTAAGAGAACAGCCTGCTCTTGTAGAGGCCCCCTGAACCCTTGCTGGGTGGCTCATAGAACTTCAGCACCAGGAGATCTGAGTACCTTTCTGGCTTCCAAGGGCAAGTGAACATGAGTGTGCATACCCAGACATATATAGACAATTTAAAAGCCAAATCTTTTGTTTAAAGGCAGTAAGAACTCTAGTACTGGCATAACACATAAATTAGTGGTGACTCTAATTAAGCAAATTAAATGTTTAGTAATTGGATAATTAGATGAAATATATTATTAAACAGATAAGTAATTATATTAAAATGTGATTAAATATAACAACACAATACACAGTAGTTTAGCCTGACTTTGGGAGGGACTAGCTACCTTGAAATTTAAGCCCAAAACTGACCATTCCCTCCTCCTCCTTTCATATTGTATGTATATAATTAGTCAAGTTCCTTTAAAAAATTATGTGAATGGGTGTCGCCTGCATGCATGTCTGTGCATCACGTGTGCCTAAAGAGAGCCAGAAAAGGGTGTAGATCTCTTGAAACTGGAGTTACCTACCAATGGTTGAGCTGCCATGTGGGTGTTGAGATTTGAATCTCAGTATTCTAGAAGACTGCCTAGTGCTGAGTCATTGCTCCTGCAGTCCCAAATTCTTTTGATTCTATAGCTTCATATCCCTCAAATACATCCTTCTTGTAGTTTCTTGATGACAAGGTCTCCTACTTGGAATACTCTAAGACAGCAATTCTCAGCTTGCAGGTCGTGACCCCTTTAGCAAACCTCTATCTCCAAAACAATTACACTACAATTCATAATAATAGCAAAATTACAAACATGAAGAAGCAATGAAAAGAACTTTATGGTTGGAGGTCACCACAACATGAGGAATTGTATTAAAGGGTTGCAGCATTAAGAAGGTTGGGAATCACTGCTCCAACTGGCCTTCCTGACATCAACCTATTTTGCACACTGCAATTGTGATCGTCCTAAGGAGGAAACAAAACATACCTCCTTTGTGTGAGTTGCACATAATGACTGGCCATCACCATTAAGATTAAGTTTAAAACATTTAAGATGGTTTAAACTTTTCTTAAGCTTTAATGAACTTTCAGTTCTCCACACTTGTAATTCTTAGTTCTTGGGTCCTTCTAAATCTCTTACATGGAAAACCCCTACATTTTTTTCTTCTTATTAATGACCAGTCACACCTCATGTCCCAACACAATTAACAAGCCAGAGAGTTGCTCCATTTGCTAATTCAATCTCCATAGAAACCCATTAAGAACTTGACATGGAGAGTTGAGGAATTTTTACAAGGTCTTAAGGCTGAATTTCATATCTTTTTGTCAAAAATATTGTTTTTAATCCATAGACGTAAAATTTTGAATTCATTTTTCCCTTCTCTCTTGCTGTGTGCATCTGATTCAGAAGCCAATGCTGTGGGCTCCACCCAGACACAACTACCACAACAGTCAGTCTACACTTCCCTCCAGAATTCCTGCCAATTTTCCTCGAAGAGTCTCACTCTGTACCCACTAATGGCAACCCTCCTGTCTCAGTATCCCAAGTGCTAGGACTATAGAAATTAGCCACCATGTTCATATGCAGGTTTTCAATTGCATCCAACTTTGAGTTATTCTTGATTTCATTTCTGCCCGCCCTCCCATCTATTCCTATTGTGGATTTCCAATTACAAATGTTTCATCCCCAAACCACACACTTTTCCTTTCTGGAGATATTATTCACTGCGCTCGAAACACTCTGGTGACCTTGTTATTCCCTAAATAAGAGAAACAAGCTCCAGCTTCCGGGCCTCTGCGCTAGCTATTCCCTCACGCATGCCTCTTGAAACCACCTACGTCTATCCATCTCTCTCGGATTATCTACTAAAATATTCTATTTACTTACAGTGGAAACTACTTAAACATGCATCAGAAGCCATGTGTGGTAGCGCCAGCCTATGAGCTCAGCTCTTGGTTCAAATCAAGGGTATCCTCCGTCAAAGAAGCCAATATGGGCTTTACGAAACGCTCTCAAAAACAAAAACAGCCAACAAAATAACACCAACAGAAGCCTGGAGTGTTGGCTCAAACGTTCGTAATCCCAGCACTCAGGATGCTCAGGCAGGAGGATATTCAGGGGTTTGAGGTCAGCTTGAGCTAAACCGTGCGTTCCAGGATAAGCACGAAACTGCCTCAAAAATAAACTGCGAGTTCACTACGTCCTCCACTTCATCCCTTTCCCACGCCCGAGAACTGTAGCTTCCGCCACGCACCCTTTCTGGATCTCCCAGCGCCCAGATGTGGATCGCTTGTGTTACCAGCCAGAGACGCCGCTCCAGAGGCCCAAGGTTGCCGTTCTGACCCCGCTAGAACCCGATTACCCTACGTCCTCTCGCCCTGGTCGCAGGGTCAGTCACATGTCCCCTCAGTGTTCCAGCCCAGTAGCTTCCGGCTCCACTCTAGGACGGTGGGAGGACCATGACTCGACTCGGTGGTGCCCTGTCTGGGTCTAGTTGAAACATTTCATTTACACGAAACAGGCCATTTCATTGGACTGTTTTTACATACAGCATCATCTCTTACTGGAACAACAAAAGTCTCACCGTAACTCCAGCAACCAAGGAACAGAGACAGGAATTGACGCTTTAAGTTGGGCTTCAGTCAAACGCTAGCGTGATCATGAAGGTTAGGCTTAATACCACTACTCCAAAGAAGCCACCTTAATGCCCCATCTCAAACCAGAAGTTTTCTAGAGAAGCAAACTAAGTTAATTATTAGTGCTCAAGTTTATTCTTTGTCCCCCACCTTTTCACTACCAAGTTCCAACGATTCCTATCTGTATCTTCCCCCTTGTTTGACTTCTGAACCTAGGTACGGAACAATGCTTAGTCTGGTTAATGTCCTGTGGTGTCAGATATGAGCACTGCAGTCCCCTAGACCAATGGGATGTAAAGTTAACTCAGAACATGGTATTAAGATCTTGTGTGCAGATTAACTCAAAACAAACAAAATCATTTTAGTGCAGAGTCCTTTCTATAGTGTCTGATACAAAGTCTCTTACCATTCCCCACCATTCCCCATTATTATTCATTTACTTTGATAGATAGGCTACAGTTTGAGGTTCATTTCCAATCATCAGAGTGAGAACTCCCAATAGGAATCCACCTCTTTCATGAACAACTGAAAAGACTTTTGCAAGCTTGTAAATTTCACAGCAGACACAGATGTCAATGCCCTCCTCCATAAGCTCATAAATATTCCTGGGCCCATTCAAAACTTTCCAACGGGTTTAGCTGTGAGACCAAAATTTGGGATCAATTCTACAGTAATCTGCCGTGCCTAGGAATATTTTCAATTGCCTGAGAATTGCAATGGTTTTTCCATTGGTCTAATTGTCTGTTAGCGTTTTCCAATCAGGCCCCTCTTTCCAGGTTGGAGAAGGAAACCCAATAATTTCTCAGCCTGCTGACAGATTTGGGCCTTGCAGGCTAGCAGTCTCCTGGTTTCTAGTTACCAGAAAGTCATTGACATCCTGTTGTAACATGCCCCCTTTAAATCTTAACTAGATAGATGGCCCAGAGTTTAAGAGCTCCAGGGCTCTTCCACAGGACCCAGTGCACAACAGTTTGGTTTTCAGCTACAACAGCCTGTATGCAACTCCAGCCACAGGGGATCCAGGAGTTCTTCTCATCTCCTGCGGGCATGAGAAAACACACACACACACACACACACACACACACACACACACACACACACACTTTAGAAAGAAAACTGGTACCTCTTGATCCAGCATCTCTAAAGATCACAGTTCTAAACCACACCATCCTCACTCCACCTAACCTCCCAAAGTACTAGCAGCTATACAGTTTTAAATTGTTGAGTCTGGGTTCTGCCACCCAAAAATGAAAAGGATCCTCCAATTCCAATAATAAAAAACGTGAGCTGTCTCTGGGAATGTGACTCATCAGACTGTACTTGCAAAGGACAGCCAGCCGAGTGTATAGCTTGAGAAACATCAAGAATTGCCTTGAGGTTTTATACAAATGCACTCATGAGAGTGAGGGGGCTTCTCCATTTGTAATACTATCTGCAATGTGTGGATATATTACTGATAAGTCCTATTTCAGAAAATAACCTAATCCTACTTCTAAAAATTTTAAATTACCAGTCAGATTCCTTTTCTGTGCTGTTGGCCCATAGTTAGCTCAGATCTCATGATTTGTCTCAGATGGAACTTCACCAGGCCATACCCAGCAGACATTTTTCCAGAATGAGGTACCAGGAGTCTTCCAGAGGAACCTGCAGATGCTGCTGCTGGTCTTCTGGAAAAAAAAAAGTTTAGTTGGTCATACTTGGTGGTACCTGGAGATTTGGAATATAGAGGAATTTGTGGGTTAGCCAGCTTCATGGGCAACAGGCTTGCTGAAGATCTGTATAATTGTTTAAAATTATTTTATGTATGTGTGTTTTGTCTGCACGTCTGTCTATGTATTACTTGCTGTCTGGTTCCCATAGAGGACAGATGACATCATCAGATTCCCTGAGTTACAGACCATTGTGAGCTACCATGTGGGTAATACGAATCCACTTTGGAAAGAACAGCCGGTGCTCTTAACCACTGAGCTGTCTCTCTAGCCCTACATTAAAGATCTTCTAAAACCTTATTGTTGTTTTCTCAACTAGTATTTTGATTCCCAAAGTCCTTTCTTCTTGGAAGATAATGGAGGGTCTGATTCTTCCTAAGCTCACAGCTGTTTCACGCTGTAGGACAGTGTCCATCAACTGAGAGGGGTCATGTCCACACTCTTTCCTATCTTTTGTAATTTCTTTCTAATGTCAGGGATAATTTGTGAAACATAGATCATACTCACCATCACCTTTTCCAGGACTTTAGGCAATTTCTGATACAATTCATAGAGTTGCTTCAAGAATTTAGATGGTCTTCACTGGATTTTTGTTGTAATATTAGAACTATGCTCAGTTCTAGATTTGGGACCCTTTTCCAAGACCTTTGAGCGTACATGTCCAATATCTTCCTGAACAAAGCCCATCACATCATTTCAGGGAGGGCTCAGGCCCTTCTTCCCGTATCTGGAATGCAATAGTTTCCCTCCATGGGAAATGTCAGGCCCAATTCTTAACAAGCTGTTTATAGCTAAGGTCAGAAATACCTTTCTTTGTCTTACAGATACTTAAAAATAGCTTTTACCAAAATTCATCTACGTCATTTTCCTCTAAGACTTAGAGTCTAAGCTTTTCTGTGTGAAATGACTGTTTTGTGGAGTGGATAGAGAAAAATGTGATACATTTACACAATGAAGTACTACTTGGCAGAAAAAACAATGGAATCTTGAATTTTGCAGGCAAATGGATGGCACTAGAGGAAACCATCCTGAGTGAAGTAACTCAGACACAAAAAGATAAACATGGTATGTACTCACTCATATATGGATTTTAGACATGGATCAGGGGAGTGTCAGCCTACAATCCCAGTGCCAATGAATCTGGGAAACAAGGAGGCTCCCAAGAGAGATGCATGATACCTCAGAGTAGTGGAATGAGGCAAGATCTCTGAGCAGATTGGAAACTTCAGGGAAGGGAAGAGGGAGCCAGAAAAAAGAGAGGGGGATAAGAGGATGTGAGAAGAAGGCATGGGGGAGCAGGAAGGTTGAGTCAAGGTAAGAATAGAGGAGAGCAGGATGAGAGATACCATAATAGATGGAGTCATTATAGGCTTGAGGAGAGAGCTGACACTAGTGAAATCTCCAGAGATCTACAAGGATAACACCAACTGGCAAACTAATCAATAGTGGAGGGGCTGTTAATGTAGCCTCTTGATGATAGGGTTGATGACTACCCTATATGCCATCATAGAACATTCATCCAGGGACTGATGGAAGCAGAGACAGATACCCACAGCTAAACACTGAACTGCACTCCTGGAACCTAGTGACAGAGATGGAGGAGTGATGAGCAAAGGGGTCAAGACCATGATGGTAAAACCCACAAAGACAGCTGACCGGATAAGGGGGAGCTCTTGAATCCTAGACTGATGTCTGAGAGGCCAACAGGGGACTGATCCAGACTCCATGAATGTAGTCTCAGTGAGGAGGTCACAGAAATCACTGGGGCCCTGGGTAGTAGATCAGTGTTCACCATGGTTTATGAATCATCTTTGTGAGCCCATTCCAAATAGAGGGATGCTCTCTCAGCCTGGACACATGGGGAAGGGCCTAGGTCCTGCCTTGGATGAAATGACAGACTTTAGAGATCCCCAAGGAGCCCCTCACCCTCCCTGGGGAATGATGTGGGGATTGGGTGGGGGGTATGGGAGGCTAGTGGAGGGACAAGGGAGGAGGGGTGGGAGAGGGAACTGGGATTGACATGTGAAGCATTCATGTTTCTAATTTAAATAAAAAATAAAAAATGATTTTTTTGTGTGTGTGTTTGTGTCTGATGGAGGGCAGAAGATGGCATTGGACCTCCTGAACTAGAGGTACAGGCAGCTGTGAACATTTGTGTGAATCTGGAAACTGAGCCCAGGTCCTCGGAAAGAATAGCTAGTGCCCTTAATCACATAGTCATTTCTTTGGCCCAATGCTAGAAATACTAAAAGAAGAAAAATCACTGGGTGGAGGTGGCATATGTCTTCAATCCCAGAACTCAGGAGACAGAAGCAGATGGATCTCTGAGTTCAAGACCAGTCTGGTCTATACAGTCTATACAGTAAATTCCAGGACAGCCATGGATTCACAGTGAAAGCCTGCTTCAAAAAAACCTAACTAAACACACACACACACACACACACACACACACACACACACACACACACACACACACACACTCCTACCACAAGACACTTATTTTTAAGGAAAACTTATATCATTTTTCATATTTTGTGAAATGCTGAATTTTTGTGAACTCATAAGAGAAGATTATGCTTAAAATGTTTACAATTTTAAGTTAATCAGCAGCAGTGATATGCTGTGGGATAACACTTTTGTATGCTGTGATTATGTTTTAGTCCCATTGGTAAATAAAATAGCTGATTTGGCCAATAGCCAGGAGGAATACAGGTAGGCAGGAAATCCAAATGGAGATACAGGAGAAGGGTTGGGTCTGAGCAGATGCCAGCAAGCCTCAGGAGCAACAAGATGTACTCGAGGACAGGTAATGTCACAAAGCCCCGTGGCAAAATAGATGAATAGAAATGGGTTAATTTATATTGTAAGAGCTAGTTATAAGTCTGAGCAATAGACCAAACAGTTTGTAATTAATATTAAACCTCTGAGTGATTATTTTAAAATCAGCTGCAGAACCAGGTGGGACAAAAAAGCCTCTGTTTACAGTGACACTAATTTGCTTTCTCCACACCAACTAAAACTCAGTACAATCTGGACACTTGATCAACTTCCTGATTCTAAAAGCCAAGCAGAGTGATATATTCCTGTAACCTCAGCTAAGGCTGAGGCAGGAGGATCACATTGAATTTGAGGCTACCTTGGGCTACAGGGTGAGTTCAAGACTCAAGGTAACTCTGGGCTATATATATAGCAAAACCCTACCTCTAGGAGAGTGATGATAATTCTAATGATTTCTTCAAATGTTAGAAATTTTGTCCTATTTTTATACAACCCACAATTATATAATTTCTTGAAAAATCATTTCAAAGAAAAAGCTATTCTGTTTATACTATAGTCCCCTGAGACAGATATGATGTACAATCAAATTTCACGTCTCTTTTAAGGCAGAATTACTGGCCAGGTCCTTCTATGATGGCAACATTCCATGGTGAGTAAGCTGTGTGTACTTAGAAGCTGTAGCTGTTCAGCTGGTTCATTTTCACAAGCAACAAAGATAAAGAACAGAAAACCAAATAAAAATAAAAGTGATATAGAAACAGTTACAAGGCCGTTGGTAAGACGTTAACTTTTTATTACTTGAAGAGCTTTTATGATGAATAAGATGTCTAACATTTCCCAAATACAATGGCTAAACATTAGTGTGCACACTTTACATACAAGAACTACAAAATAAGAAATCCTGGAAAAGATGCTTCACCTTATTCTTGAAGAGGGAAAATAAAATTAACAGTCAAAAGTCATGTTAACTGACCAGAAAAACAAGACATAAAGCTTTTTCAAAAAGTACAGTGCTGATGGTGATGTTGCTCTGTCAGTCTTCCTAGGAAGCATCGTTGTAGTAGTATCTACTAAAAATCAGAAAGCATGGAGATTAAATGTGACATTTATATTTTCATTAATAAATATCCCAGAAAAGCCAATTTCTTAGATTTCTAGCCTTATTTTTTTTCACAGTGTACTGCAATTCGTAATTACCTTTTTCAAGTTTGATCCTGGTTGATCATACATTCTATGGTGGCAGTGGCTAAGGCTAACTTACAGATTTATCTACAGTACTTATAACACACAAAGCACTATTTCCTCTTTACCCAATCAATATTTGTACAGGGAAATACCTTTCAAGGCTGGTGCTCAGAGCTGATGAAAAGGAGTGGCCATAACCCACTTCTGAAAGCCTCCACAGTCCTTGCCCTTGCCTGGGCCACCAGCATGATGTCTTTCCACTAGTGCTCTCCTCGTATCAATGCCATGAACCAACACATCTTGTTTGCTTCAGTTCATATCGACTGTCATTAAGTCAGAAGAGTCCCACATGTCCAGAAACACTTACATACAATCATTTACAAACACCTAAAATAATATAAAACTTAGATTTATATGTACTGATACAAAACATATCCAAGATGTACTGTTAAGTGAAAAAAAAACCAGTGTTCACCCTGTATATAGTGAGGTATAGCTTCCATAAATGGAATGTGCAGATGTACAAGCACAGCTTTCACCAATTTTCCTCAACTTCATTTTGGGGCAACCTGGAACAAGTTACACCATTGAATGAAGTTCTTCCACATCACACTGCCCTTTCACATTCTGGAACCCATTCAATGCTGTCAATTCTATGGAGCTTACTAGTGTTTTGAGAGTTAGTTTGGGTAGTGTTGAGAAATCAGGGTCAGTAAATATTAACATCCCTATGGACAACAAATGCCTATTGTAGATCATAAATGCAGCTCACTCTGAGGTCTTCCTTAGAAACAAAAGATCTCTTTACATGCTTTGCAAACACCTCAGTCCTTGTATCTCCACAAACATTTTTCCCCTTCTAGATGGGCCTAATCTACTCTTTGAAAGACTTCAGCACCCTGGATCTTCAGCTTTTTTATATTGATTTATGGATAAATCCTGCATCCATTTCAATTAGGATATGGCCAATAAAATCAAGCTTTTCTATGAATACTACCAGTACATGTTATGAACACACACATTTTAAAATTCAAAACTGCAGCAGGCATTTGTTGGTTATCTATCTTTCCTGTCCAACATGGTATTTTCAGATAGCCATATGTAGCCTCTACACTGACCAGACCTGCAGGGCCTCAGAGTAAGCTATTCTGTTCATTTGACAACTGCACTTACTTTAAGCAGATATATAGACTACACTAATTCAATTAAGATAAAATCTTGTTAAGAATACCAAGTCAGAAATATTCTCTCCTGGCAGTGACCTTGGAAGCCCTACAAATGTGACACTGTATTGAAAGGCATGGACTACATAGTCTATGGTGTTGCTCACTGGGGGCTGGTAGTTGAGGGGAGGTGCTCTTGAGAAATTGTACACAGGATTCATACTTTCTTTCACTGTGATGAGAAAATGGAAAACAAAAATGATATTAAAATGGTAGGAATAGGTAATTTTGCAGAGCAATCTTTGGAAGATGTTCACTATAGTCTACATGAAGTTGGGACATGGTTTAAAAAGATGGATATGGTACTTTGCAAAATGTAAAGGTTGCCAGTGAGCTCTTCTCTCTTCTATCAAGGAATGTAACTGTAGTTAATGAAGAAAACCCAGTGTCTTAGCAGATCTTGTTTTAAAATGCCTTACATGAAGATGACTCTAAATACTTCACTAGAAGAACTTACAGAAACATGAGAAATATATAAAAATCTGGAAATGAATATGACACCTTAAATAAACTACTGTGAAGCAACTTACTCCAATATGATTGTCTTAAATTAATAGTGGATAAAACTTTCAGTAACTTTTAGTAATATACACAAAGAAGAAACTACTCTCAAGTACTGCTGCTGAGAGAAAATACCTCAGCTTCCTAAGGATTGCAGATAAACATAATATATACACTTTTATATCTATTTTCAGACTAAACTAGGCTCTGATGTTTAGAACTTATGAACTCATTTCTTTCAAAAAGTGGTTATGAAAGTTCTATTATGTCAATAATTTCAGCAAAGTATGTATTAATAATAGATTCCCAGAATAGTGTTATCATTAGCCTTGTACACCATTGTAATTTGTAAATGCATCCCATTTTGGCCAAACCCATAATCTTCCCATTGGCAATAAATGGGAACAGAGAAAAACTGTGGCATAGGGTCAGATGAAGAACAATACTATTTCAATTTTACAATGCACAGCAGCTGATGGTTATGAAGAAATAGCATTGCAGCAAAGAAAATTTCCAACCCCTTCAAAAAGAAATGCTCTTTAAAGAGATTTGGCAGTTCTTTTTTCTATAAGGAAAACCACTCTAGAGCAAATGAGCCATGGAAAAGATAGAGAAAAAGCCCAAGTTCTATTAGCATTATGCTGGAATTAGTTTCCCAGATTTTTAAACAATAAAACTGAGCTTCTTTAACCGAGTCTGTTAACTACAGCCAGTGGAATACAGTCCACTGAATCCAAATAGGTCCAAATGGTTACTTTCTTGGGTATTGCTCTCAAATTCTTTTTGCCCTCCTAGGGCAATGCCTCCAAAAGGTAAAACTCCCCTTGGGGTGGGGGGTGGGGATAATCACGGTAGCAGATGTGGATGGGAGCACGCTTATGTTTAGTAGCACTAATTTTCGTTCTTCAAAATACCTTGCATATGCACAAAACCATGGAAGGATACAGAAGACATTTTGCTTTTCAGGAGAGGCGGTGAATCAGGGACTGGAATGACATTCGCCTTTTTATTCATTCCCGGTAATGTTTGTAAAACTTTCTAATGACGTTTCAAAAAGTGTTTTCCTATAGTACTTAGTAACACAGTAAGTACAATATCACCGGCAAATGGTAAAGGCATTTACTATTATTTTAGTCATACAAAACCCTTGTTGTTCAAAGTCCGGCAGTGCAGCAAACAAGTTCTCATTTGTCATCTTTCCCTTTTGTCTTTCTGTAAACCATTTCTCGAAAACTGGCTAGGATCTTATTCTCTCTCTTCCGCCTCTCTTCTTGGTTAAAGGACGCAAGAGCTCTTTTCTCATCAGCACTGTAGATCTGGTTCTCTTTACGCAGTCTTACAGCCTCCATTCGGCGATGTCTGCTACCGCTCATGACATAACCTGAACATTCAAATGAGGCGATCTCTTCACTCGTCAACCCAATTTCACCCCTTCGTGGGATGCGCTTTCCAGCTTTCACATATTCAGCCATAGCAGCACCTTCACCTGGAAGCAGAGCGTGGCCATAGTTCAAAGGTTTCTCATCTTGAGAGGTATGTATTACAGGTGCTTCCGGGCCTATTAAATCCATGGTATCTGCACTCCTCGACTGTTCCATCCACGCATCTTCTGGCAATTCCCTTTCTAAAGCTCTGCAGCCTATGTCACTGTATTCTTTTTTAGTTCTCCTCTTCTTCTTGAGTTGTTTTGCCCGGTGTTTCCTTTTCTTCTCTTTCTTCTTGGTTTTAAATTTCTTTCTATCACCACCAGAGCTAGAATGAATGTCAGAGTCAGAATCGCTGTCATTATCACAATACTTTCTATGTTTCCTTTTGGGAAGCTTTTTCTTCCTTTTTCTCTTTGTTGAATGACTGGTCTTTGACCTTTCATTGGTGAAATCTGAACTGCTGCTCTTCGGATTCTTCACCTCATCTTCAGCTGGCGTATGTTCGTCAGAATCTGGCTCAGGAAACTTGGGTGACAATCCCCATACTTCAGGTGCTCCCAGCTCTCCAATCCTCTCTCTTTCCTTCAGCCTCCTTAGCCTATAGCTCTCCTCCTTTTCCTTTTCCTGGTCCTCCGCCCACAAACGATCTCCCGCATAGTGGTGGTAGCGATACCCACCACAGATGGAAGAGGAGGACGAAGAGGCAAACGTGCGGAATCCTGGCGGTGGCGGTCGCTCTCCAGACCTGGGGCGGCTGACGGAATGCGCTAGGCGGGGCCCCTCTGTTCCCCGAGGAGGCCGGAGCCCCTCGAACGCGCTGAGGTGAAGGCCGAAACCGCCTCCCCGAGGGGATCGTCGAGTCTGTAACACCGACAGTGGGCTGTGCGAGCCACGTCGTCGTTTCTGAGAGCCCAGAATGTCCTCATGAGGGCGGGATCGGGACACAGGCGACATGGGCTGACTTCAAACCGCCAACGCCGCGGTTCCTTTCAAGAAGTCACATCTTGGAGCGCGTAGTGCTACCGTGCACTAGGAACGGCGCAGGCGCACTAGGAACGGGCGGGCTGAAGCACTAGATTCAGTTCCGCCCTGAGACCCGTGCAGTCAGTACTTGGGCGCCCAGCCTTTGACGGAAGCGGAAACGACCAGGAAGCGGCGTAGGAGCCCCTCTTCAGCGTCTGAAGTGGACACTCACTCATTGCATTTTTCACGATTTACATTTCCTGCATTGAACCCCCGGAGTAACAAAAGGATTTATCATTAATGAGTCCTACTGCTGTATGTAAGCATGCACGTATATGTGTATTTTTATTGTTGTTGTTGTGGTGGTTTTTTGAGACAGGGTTTCTCTGTGTTGTTCTGGCCTCCCTGGAACTCATTTTGTAGACCAGGCTGGCCTCGAATTCACAGAGATCCGCCTGCTTCTGCCTCCCCGAGTGTTGGAATTAAAGGAGTGAGCCACCACCGCCCAGCTATTTTTCTATTATTAAGTGGAGCATATGCAGCCGCAGCTGGCTTGGAGCTTGCTAGGCAGAAAAGATGATCTTAAACTTCTGATCCTCCTGTCTCCACCACCCAAGCACCAAGATTAAAGGTTTTCATTACCACACCTGTGATGGCTAAGAAACTTTAACTCTGTACCATCAACAGTAGCTGTTGATCTTTGCCCTAAGATTCTCATGGACTCCTAGCGGCCTGCATCCCCAAATGATCTTACTTCTGTGAGATAAGAGTGAAAGAATGGTGAGCCTGCTATGAGATAATTAACCACTTCCCCAGCTTTATGTAAGCCGCTTATCCCTGTGGGAAAGGGAAGGAAGAAGTTTCCTCTGTCCCCTGTAAGAGAAGTGAGAGACAGTTAAGGGGAGTAAAACAGTGTTCCCCTATAGCTGTGGATTCCATAGAAGCGAGATAATTGTAATGCCCACCTTAAATACTCTTCCCTTAGGCATCTACCGCTCTTGATTTGGTTATAATGCAGTTGTCCTTCCTGCTAAGAGTAAGAATAAATTCATTTGATTTTAACATAAACTTCGGTTGAGTCTTGTCTTTCCCAGTGGATTCCAACTCTGTAACATGCCCGGCTCTTCTCTTGGATTTTTGTGTTTTACTGCCATGTGGCTCACCATTCCTGCCTCCACCTTTTCAGCTTAGTGAAGGATTCCTATTTACTCCAAGTAGCTTCCTGCTGTTTCATTTGACATATTCCTGCCAAAATGGACTGTACCTTCAAACTGAGAGCCCAAATACATTTTTCTTAATTTGCTTCTTACTGTCAGATGTTTATCACAGCTATGAGAAAGTAACTAATACCACCGGTACATTAGTTAATTTTGTCATATGACAGTATCTCCAACAGCTTGGGAAGAAAGATTTATTTTGGCTCATGGTTCTGGGTGGATTTTAGTCAATCATGGCAGAGAAGGTATGGTGGCAGTAGTATTAGGCAGGGGCTCTTCACATTTTGGTTAACTAGGAAGCAAAGAGAAGGGACACAGGAAGGAGCCAGAGAAAGATATAACCCCTAAGGGCAAGACTGCAAAGACCTACTTCATCTAGTTAGGCTGAGCCTCCAATCTTTTTATCCCCACCCAAATTACATCATCATATAATGAATCCATCAAGACATTATGCTGCTTGTGGGTTATAGCCTTTGTGAGCACAGTCTAGAAGACTCGTGCTTTGTTAATCTAAGTTTTTCTGAATCCACTCCAACTGACAAGATTAATATTACAACTGGTTAAGCCAGAATGGGGCTTCACTCTGGGCTGAACTGCCATCTCCCTTCCCATCTCTTTTAGACCCACTTAATAGTTTTTGGACTAAATTATTCATCAATGAAGGAAGGTAGGGTTCTGCAATTAAGCAAATTACCATGGAAACTTTTTTGCAAGTCTATAGAGAACATTGCGATGGATCCCCATATGCCTCGAATCTAGCTTCAATAATTATCATGTTTGTGTTATTTGTTTCCTTCTTTTTTTGCTGAGTATTTGCTTCAATAAATCTCAGACATTTTATTGGTTCATCCATCTAAACAGGTGTTTCAATATAAAGTTCTAATGAATGATTCTAAAAAAATGACAGAGAGGCAGGAGCGATGTCTCAGTAGTTAAGATCATTTGTTGTTCTTGCAGAGGACCTGTGTTGGTTAGTTTTGGCAACTTGACAAAAGTAAAGTTAGCTAAAAAGAGGGAATCTCAATTTAAAAAATCCCCTATCATACAGACCTATAGGCAAGTATGTGTGGCATTTTCTTGGCTGATGATTGATGTGAAAGAGCTGAACCCACTGCGGGCTGTGTCTTCCCCGGGAAGATAGTCCTGTGGTATATAAAAAAGCAAACCGAGCAAACCAGGAGAGCAAGCCAGTAAGCAACATTCCAGCGAGGATTCAGCAGCGTTCCTCCAAGGGTTCTGCTTCAGTTCTTGCCTCTGGGTATCTTGCCTTGAGTTCTTGCTCTGACTTCATGATGGATTGTGATTGGAACTTGTAATCCAAATAACCCTTTTCCTCTCCAAGTTGTTTCTGATCATGGTGTTTATCACAGTAATAGAAACCCTAACTATGAAAGGACTCCAGGGGATCTGATGTCCCCTTCTGGCTTGTACAAGTGCCAGCAACTTATGGCATATACACAGACACAGGTAGATAAAAGTAAATGTCATAAAAAACGATAGTATCATTCTAGCAGCTAAATTGTCAACAATTGCTTAATATTACTGAGTTTTAGTTTTCCCCATTATCGCAACTGTATCTTTTCACAGTGTTTCAGGCAGCTTACCAGAGATGACCACTCAGACACAGCCTTTATTCAGCTCAAGTAAGTGTTCATTGGACCTAGGTGTGGCCCCTAGTGTCCAGAACACAAGGTTTTTAAGGGCAGAGACCTCATGGAGGAATCTCCCTGGGCAACTGCAGTGGGGACTTTGCAGAGTAAGCAGTTTGAAGCAAACAGAAACTAAGATAAGGAGTTAGCCAAATGGAGGGGAATTCCACACAAACAGACAGCTAAGATAAAGGGCTAGCTGGAGAAGGTTCCACACAAACAAGCAATTTCAACAAAGGTTAGATAAGTTAGATAGGACATCCTGACCTTTGGTTCCTAGAATAGAGTTGGGTAGTTTTCTATGGGCTACCCCAAGGAGATCAGATTCTGGTTAAACCTGGAAACAACCTCAGCAGGAATGGAACCTGTGATAGTGATCTGGTCCTGTCACAACAGTTGTTCTGTTCTAATCTGGGTAGAATAAAGTTTATCATTGCACCTGGCTGATCTGTCTATTGGGTTCCTTTGAATTGAAGACAGTCTGCATTTCTCAGGTTTGGTAGTCTCTGCATCTAACTCTTATGCGAGTGTGTCAGTTAGGGCTGCAGAAAAACAGGAGGAAATGAAGTAGGAACGCGATGTGCCTGAGGCTGGGGACTGGAGAGTTTCTGAGCGTGCATAGAGGCTACTTGGATAAGCTTTGTTGCCAAAGAGCTCAGAAGAGTTAGGACTCCCAGGTTATTTGGGCAGGAGCCACAGCAGTGGTTGCACTAGCTACCTGTAATGTGTTATGAAGTAGTGGGAGGTGGGGTCTAGAATCACCGTCTGGATGATTTTCTCTCAGGTAGTTTGGCCTGGAGAGGGAAGGAAGGAAGCAGCAGGGAGAGGGCAGGACTGGGGCAGCCATAGTCTCCAGATAAGTAGGTGTCCTGCTTCTTTGGTGGTTTCTAAGAGGTACCAAATTTCCTACCATGCCCCACCTTTTCATTCTGCAAAGTCTACTTCCCAGCTGAATTTTTGTGTCAGCATTGTGACAGCTATGAAGGCAAGCTCGACATCAGAAAGAATCAAAGACCCCTGGTAACTTACTTCCTGGGCTTAAACATCCATTCCTTTATGACCCGGGAGCTATAATCCTTTTCCCAACAATCCTCCCTTGAGTGGAGGTACTGATAGAATCACCAATGAGTTAATTCGGATAGAACCACTGAGAAGAGCATCCTAGAGAGCCCAGGAAGTAGCTTGAGTTCCCAGAACATTTCCGGTGCTTCAGCCAGTGTAAGGATGCAGTTTAATTGCCCCAGGACATTCGTTGGGAATATTTATTGTGGGGTTAGGGTGGGGTGCAGAGGAGGACTTCACAAAGGCAAGGATTGTTGGAGATACCCGTGCAACTGTGCCTCTGGGTGTCCCGGGGAACAACGGGAGGAGACAGGTCCAAACCGAGTTCCCATCTTAAGAGAATCCTCTTAGGATCCACATCTTGCAGCTAGCGTGAGCCTAGGATTTGTGCAGAATGGCTAGAGAGTGGGGAGCGAGCGCAGCCCTAAACGCTCAATCTGCAGAAGAGGGCACTGGGCTTCTGGTGGTGAAGGTAGAACAGGAAGAGGCCTCTCCCTTGGCCGAGGAGGCCAGTTGGCTGGGCAGCCCTGGGCCCGACCGCTCCCGACAGCGCTTTCGCGCCTTCCGCTACCCCGAGGTAGCCGGACCCCGGCAGGCGCTGAGCCGGCTCCGAGAACTCTGCAGACAGTGGCTGCAGCCAGATATGCACAGCAAGGAGCAGATCCTGGAGCTGCTAGTGCTGGAGCAGTTCCTGACCATCCTGCCAGGGGAGCTGCAGGCCTGGGTGCGCGAGCAGCACCCCGACAGCGGGGAGGAGGTGGTGGCGCTGCTGGAGTACTTGGAGAGGCAGCTGGATGAGACACCTCCACAGGTAGAAGGAACAGGTTTAGGGTCTGAGACCTATGCCCTGTGCCTTCCAGAAACCTCAAGACAGATCCAAGGGAGGAATTGCTTAGAACCCGCGAAGTCTCAGTCTGAACTGGGAACCTGAGGCAACCAGCGAAGTGACCTGGACCCCTCAGAATAGTTAAAAGCACAAAGGAAGTTAAAAGCACTGGATAGGAAGCATCTCTGGCTAAGGTTTAGGGCAGCACTAATCTACATTTTGACCTGCTTTTAGGAGATTTTCTCTCTGCAACCTCCAGCGTCTTTGTGTCAAAGGATACATGATTAGAACCTTCTAACTAGTGACCAGGAGGCCAAGGTTCTGGACCTGGAGTTGCTGTCCTGTGCTCTCTAACAGTGGGAAGTCAGTTCAAGTCTTAGAACTTTATTCTCTGTAAAAGATGTAGGAAATTCTGAGCATCCTTTTACTATCCATGTTTGCAAGGAAATTAAACTTTAATGAGGATGTACCACCTATTATACTTTGTCGTAGTTGGTTTCACATAATGCAGTCAAATTTGTTAGTTTCTTAAGAACCCTGTTGAGTGGAAATTACTATGTTTATTTCTCAGACAAGATGTTGATAATTTTCCCATCATGCGCATAATGGTAGAAAGACAGAGCAAGGGAGCAAAATAATGGTTACCCCATAGGCTCTGCAGATGGTCTGCCTGAGCTCCCACTGTAGCATTGCTACCTAGGCGCTGAATGACATTAACAAGCTGCTTCAACTGGGCCTCAGTTTCCAGTTACAGAATTCCAAACAATTCCATATTTCAGGGAGGTCCCTTCAGGTGTCATACAGGGAAGCGAATGACAAGAAGAGATAAGAATGAAAACCCAGTGCAGATTGATTTCATCAACCTGGTTCAGACTTTGGGGCGTTTGACAACAGGCTGTTTATTTCCAATGTATTTAAGCCCAGGATAGTTTGGAAAAAGTTTCTTGGTGTAATACAATCCCCATTGTACAAGGAAGTGTAATTACACTGAAACTTAACTCAGGGTACATGCCAATTCTTTCAAGAAGATGGGTTCTAGAGATAGCCTAGTGTTCTCACTTAAGGGCCTAAGAGTCTGCCCTGGTCTCAGTAATACAGATAGCATAGAGATCATTTGGGATATTAGTCATTGTGGGAGTTTGGGGGAGCTTCTGGCTATAAGGGTCATTTAGATTAGTAGCCACCTCTGGTCTTTGTTGTAAGAGTTTGATATGGTCTGACCCAGCAGATAACACAGATCATCAGGCAGTTAATCATTTCCAACTCAGAGATTTCTGGATGGAAAAACGGGCTTTTCATCTTTCCCACTGGAAAGACAATCCTGTATGTTTAACATTCTTGGTTTCTCTGGAAATCTGTGGGGGCAAGGATCTTCATGCTATGTTCCCATAATTTCATATGGCTATCTGTATTTCATTAAGCTCTTAGAATATTATTATTCATTAATATTCATGAAGCTCTTAGAATCAGTTCCTGCTAATAGAAAGTCCTCACACAAAGTGTGATGGGAAAGTTTGATTGAATAAATAAAAGTAAATGAATGACTTTTAGGTCCCTACTGGTGAATGGAGTCAAGAACTTCTCTGCTGCAAGGTGGCATCATTGATGCCATCCCAGAACTCACAAAGTAGCCACTCCCAACCAATGAAGTATCTGCTCAAGCATGAGTCTCAGGAATCTTTGGAATGTTTGCCTTTATAAGCAAGAGGTGAGAGAATGTCTGTTTGTCTGTCTGCCTGCCTCTCTCTCTCTCTCTCTCCCTCTCCCTCTCTCTCCCTCTCTCTCTCTGTCTCTCTCTGTCTCTGTCTCTGTCTCTGTCTCTCTCTCTCTCTCTCTCTCTCTGTGTGTGTGTGTGTGTGTGTGTGTGTGTGTGTGTGTGTGTGTGTGTAATGGGAGGGACCCAACTCAGGGCCTTGCGCATACTAAGTGATCATGCTACTGCTGAGGTACCACATTCCCAGTCCTGCACTGTGTAAATTATTATAAAGACTTCATTTAGCTTCATTGAATGGTCACCTAAAAGACCGGTCTATGTAACAGTTACTTTCTATGCCCACCACCAATTAATTCTAAGACTGAAACTCAAAGGGAAATAAATAACAGAGAACCTTCCTAATTAAACCTGTGAATGATAATATGTAATTAAAATTAAAGAATTAATATAGTTTTGGAAACATACTGATCTCAGTTTGGTGTGTGTGTGTGTGTGTGTGTGTGTGTGTGTGTGTGTGTGTGTGTGTGTGTGTATGTATGTAGGTAAGTGATGCCCACTCCTGACACCAAAATGACGCTGCAATGAAAAACGGCACACTTGTTGAGGATATAGACAACTGTTTATTGTAGAAATTACTCACAAGAGAAAACGAGCAGCCAAGATGAGCCAAGTAGTTCCCCCCCACACACACCAAACTGGAAGCCGAAAAGAGGGCAAGAGGCTCTGCTGCTCAGTCTTTTATTCTTTCTTCCTTACATGCCCCCTAGCCAACGCCCAAAAGTGGGCCTGGCGTAGTTCACCTCCCTGTTTCTAGTCATGCCCAAAGTGGGTGTGGTTAGCAGTGCGGTTCCACCCTTTCATTACCACATCCGTATTTGTCTTTAGAGCGCCACATGGCTAATGGCAGAGTCCTAAGTTTCCCCCTACAGGTAAGCATATCTTTGGTGGTCTCTCTACCATAGCCAGTGTTGTTTGACACCAGGAATAAAGCCATTAGTAAAACTGAAGTTTTTTCTCTGCTACATCTTTAATTCTAATGGTACAAGATAGCAAAAAAGTCAATAGTGCAGCCAGGCATTGGTGGTGCACGCCTTTAATCCCAGCACTCGGGAGGCAGAGGTAGGCGGATCTCTGTGAGTTCGAAGCCAGCCTGGTCTACAAAGTGAGTTCCAGTACAGTCTCCAAAACAATACAGAGAAACCCTGTCTTGAAAAACAAAAAAACAAACAAACAAACGAACAAAAAAACCCCTGTAGTTTCATAAATTTCTTTAGCTATTCTCTCCAACCTACTCTTCAGAGGGCATTAAATAAGCCTGTGCTTCACTTCATTTTCTTCCACATATGTGGGCAGCTGTTAAGAGCACCAGCATGAAGAGACTGCTCAGTCCTCATTGCTCTCTACAACATGCCATGTTCATTTGCAAAGCCCTCATTACAAACTTTTTGACAACTGTGCGATTCGAGTAGATGCCTAATTGCTGTTGGACCCCAGGACCCTATACAGAACATGTTATCCTCTTTTGTTCTAGACATCTATTTGTAACAAGTAAGCATGATTTTCATATTTGTGGGTAACTTCTTAAATGTCTTATCATCAGTTGGTTAGGCTCTGTAACTAGTGTATGGTGTATGTGTGTTCATTAATAGGTTAACTATAGAGTTCAGGCAGGTACCACCTTAGAGTTAAGTGGGCAGCATATTGGCCTTAAGGTAAAGACATGCTGCCCATTTCCTTTTCATGGATATATGGTATTCATTATGCAGATTTACTTAAGGTAATTCTGCAAATGGGCAACTAGAAGGTTTCAGTCCTTTTTGTATTTGTAAACAATGCTGAACTAAATAGCTTCAAGCATATATCATGGTACACACATGTGAATTCACCTCTAGGATACTGTTCAAGAAATAAAATTTCTATGTAGTTAACTTGACTTTCAATGAAGTGGTATAAATGTGCTCTATTAGAAACAGATACATACTTGAGGTTATTTTCTTAGTTAGCCATCCCTCTTCCCAATTAGTTCTAGCTTGTGGTCAAGTTGACATAAAATTAATCAGAACACCAAAGTACAGGAGGAAGGGAAACCAGCATAAAAGATAGTGGGAGTCTAAGGTGTCCGGGTTGCCAGCTAATCCTGGTTTGTACCTGAGAAAGGGAATGCGAATTGGGGAAAGAAACAGACAAGAAACAAGAGATAGAGTCAGGAGGGCATCCAGTGAATACTGAATCACCTAAGTTTATTGTTCATGGGGGGAAGGCAAGTGACTTCCTTTCCAATTATACTAAGAACAGAGTAATTACCCCTTCAGTACCCAAAAAATCAAGTAACCATATACTGAGCTAAGTATTCTGTTGTTTAGGCAGGATATGCAGTGACTACACCTTAGGCCAAACATCCGGTTGCAACCACATCTTAAGACAAACATCTTTGGTGTTTCATCTTGAAAGAGCAATGACAGGTAAAAACTCTCTGACCTTAAGTCAAAATGGAATGGAGTCAATTCTGTGGGCTCCCACAGTTCCCCCTTTTAATTAGTTTTATAGTACCTTCACTACCGCCACAGAACAGCAACTGTGTCTGTCTTAGGATGTCTTTCTCAACCTTTCAGACTTACCCATTATTGGAACACACATTCTGTCATGTATGACCTGCCTTAGGTGGACTGGAGGCAGAAAGATCTTACCTGTCTTTGGCTACCAGTGTAGCTTGACACCATGCACCAACTTCCCATCAAGAGATCATATGTAACTCGACAATGCCACACAATACCCATGGTCCTCTAGCTACAATACCTCCTATTAAGATGAAATGGCCTTTTAAAATTGGTCCAGGATGTCTCCAGCAGTTTTAGCTGCATCTAGATCCAAATCTGCCTTTTTAATCACATCTAATCTAAAGACTCATTTGCATTACGCCAAACTTCTCTCAGATTGAACTCTAACAGGTTTCCTATCTATTAATACTTTCAATGAGAACAGTAGTGGTTACAAATATTAAATGGTCAATACCAATAATTCTAGCATGATTGTTAACAATGAACACACAATTGGCTAGATTACAATTCTCATAATTGTGATTTAGTCAAAGGATAATAAAATATTCTTGTGATGGGTGAAATATGAGTTTTCCCTTTCTAAAAGCCCAATGTATTGCTGCTTCTAACTCCCATAGATACGTTTGAGTTGCTACAACCTGTGAGTACTGAATACCAGCAGCAAAACTTTTGTCTCATTTCTCCTCATCAGTTTGTGGGGTCCCTACAGTACCTCCACTTTGCTCTCTTGACCAGTCTAGCGCCTAATTCTGAATTGCAGTGATATTATACTGAAGAGAGGCTTTACTACATATAGCTTCTACAAGTGCTCGATTGTTCCAATGGGTTTCTTTCCCCCAGAGGGGAAGTCTCTGAGACACCTGTTTTCCAGGCTTTCCATTTCAACAGCAGGAATTTGTTTCAACTGGCAAAATGAGTTTCATATCCCAAGATATAGTGTGGATAAACTGTCAAAGATTCAACATAGTTAAAATTCACAGAAGTCTGGGAAGTTGGTGCATCAGGTTTATCAAGAAGCTAGGAATCACCGACCATTGTCATAATCTTCCCTTCTCAGACTGTAGAAGGATGGCATCAGAGGATCAGGAACACACGTTCCGCAGGTCTCACTCAAACTCGCCTGGAGGGGATGAGCTCAGCAGCTACGATGTCATCAGGTCTGGCATTCCTCTGTTCCACAAACCTCAGCACATGTTCAGGCAGCCATTAAGCTTCATTTTCTTCCTGTGAACTTGCCATCAACCCCAAATTAAAACAAGACTGGGCTCTTTCCAACATGCAGTTTAAGGATCTTTCCATTTGATATCATGCCAGTTAATTCCTGCTATCAAGCCTGCTCTATGGTAGCAGACTAGAGGTTCCTTAGAATCCCTTTAAATGAACCCAACATTTACAACAAGCTCTCCTCTTCCCTCCCCTCCCTTCACTTACCCTCTCCACATGGTTACTCTGGCTTACCCACCAACTGAATGACCCAGTAGCTCAGATTTTGTGAGCTTTCTAGAGTCTACCTTACTCTCTGAAGTTGCTTATGTGGAGGGGTTGGACTGATTGGTCTCTGCAGAGTTGGGACAGTTCAAATAGATTTTGGATGATATTAAAAAGGTAGGGAAACCAGTTCTGAGGAAGAGAAGACTTTAACACAGTGGTTCTCAACACATGGGGCATGACCCAGTGGTGTCCAACAACTCTTTCACACAAGTCGCATATCAAATATCCTTCATATCAGATTATTTACAGCCCAATTCATAACAGTAGAAAATACAGTCATGAAGCAGCAAAAAGAAATAATTTTATGGCTGGGGTCACCACAGCATGAACTGTATTAAAGAGTCGCAGCATTAGGAAAGTTGAGAACCATTGCTTTAACATCTCTACAGAAGCCATGACTCATGTTTTCTTTTGCCTTAACATAATTTTTTATTGATTCTTTAGAAATTTCACATAATGCACTCCAATCCCACTCATTTTCCAGTTCCTCCATATCTGCCCCTCACCCCTGTAGCATCCCCTACAAAAGAAAATAGAAAATAAAAATTAATTTAAAAAAACAAATGAAAAAAATCACTTCTATGTCTTACCCACTTCTCCAACACACCTCTTCAGTAGTCTTAGTGGCATTGGGAGCTGTGGTGTATCACACAGTATACCCCTTTGTCCACTCAGCTTTACTTGCAAATGATCATTGCAAAGAGTTGTTGGTTTTGTTCAAGACCTCTGGCTGGTGTGTGGAAGAGCTGGCTTCACCCATCATCTGAAGTGGGTGGTACCAGCAGCCCAGACTGACCAATCAGTTACCGCCCAGGTCTTACAGAGTTTATGAAGGGACTGATCCAGAGGAACCATAGCTTCAGGATCTCCATGACTCAGGGCAACAG